TAGTAGTTGTGGTAGTAGTGGTAGTAGTTGTGGTAGTAGTGGTAGTAGTGGTAGTAGTTGTAGTAGTTGTGGTAGTAGTAGTGGTAGTAGTAGTGGTAGTAGTAGTGGTAGTAGTAGTGGTAGTAGTTGTAGTAGTTGTGGTAGTAGTAGTGGTAGTAGTTGTGGTAGTAGTTGTGGTAGTAGTTGTGGTAGTAGTTGTGGTAGTAGTTGTGGTAGTTGTGGTAGTTGTGGTGGTTGGGTAGTAGCTGTAGTGGTTGTGTAATAGTTGTGGTAGTGGTTGTGGTAGTAGTTGTAGTAGTTGTGTAGTAGCTGTAGTGATAGTTGTGGTAGAAGTGGTGGTAGTTGTGGTAGTAGTGGTAATAGTTGTGGTAGTAGTGGTAATAGTTGTGGTAGTGGTTGTGGTAGTAGCTGTAGTAGTTGTGTAGTAGCTGTAGTAGTTGTGCTAGTAGTTGTGGTAGTAGTGGTGGTAGTAGTTGTGGTGGTTGTGGTAGTAGCTGTAGTAGTTGTGGTAGTAGTTGTGTAGTAGCTGTAGTGATAGTTGTGGTAGTAGCTGTAGTGATAGTTGTGGTAGTAGCTGTAGTGGTAGTTGTGGTAGAAGTGGTGGTAGTTGTAGTGGTAGTAGTTGTGTAGTAGCTGTAGTAGTTGTGCTAGTAGTTGTGCTAGTAGTTGTGGTGGTTGTGGTAGTAGTGGTGGTAGTTGTGATAGTAGCTGTAGTAGTAGTTGTGATAGTAGCTGTAGTAGTAGTTGTGATAGTAGCTGTAGTAGTAGTTGTGATAGTAGCTGTAGTAGTAGTTGTGATAGTAGCTGTAGTAGTAGTTGTGATAGTAGCTGTAGTAGTAGTTGTGATAGTAGCTGTAGTAGTAGTTGTGCTAGTAGTTGTGTAGTAGTGGTTGTGCTAGTAGCTGTAGTAGTAGTTGTGATAGTAGCTGTAGTAGTAGTTGTGATAGTAGCTGTAGTAGTAGTTGTGATAGTAGCTGTAGTAGTAGCTGTGCTAGTAGTTGTGTAGTAGTGGTAGTTGTGCTAGTAGTTGTGGTAGTAGCTGTGCTAGTAGTTGTGTAGTAGCTGTAGTAGTAGCTGTAGTGGTAGTGATGGTGGCTGGGCTAGTGTCGGCGGTTGACAGCCTCCCACACACACAAACACACAAGTCCCCCGTGGGTCACCCCCCTAACACGACACAACTTTCCGTCACGAGCATCGGCACCCCGGCAGAGCCCGGCACTGCGGCACGCTACACCAGGTACTTAGTTAGGGCCGAGTCTACCTAGAGGTGGGGCGAGGGTACGAGGTGGGGGGGGGGGGTTCAGATTTGCACCGCCATTGCTGTCGGCCGTGGACGGGAAATCGAACCACTTGCACCACCGCTCCCCCACACAGCAAACACACACACACAGACACACACACAGACACACACACACACACAGACACACACAGACACACACACACACACACAGACACACACAGACACACACACACACACAGACACACACACACACACACAGACACACACACAGCAAACACAGACACACACACACACAGACACACACACACACAGACACACACAGACACACACACACACACGACACAGCAAACACACACACAGCAAACACACACACAGCAAACACACACACACACAGACACAGCAAACACACACACAGACACACACACACAGACACAGCAAACACACAGACACAGCAAACACACGCACACACACACAGACACACACAGCAAACACACGCACACACACACAGAAAACACACACACACAGACACACATCAAACACACGCACACAGACACACACACACAGACACACGCACGCACAGACACACACACACAGACGCACAGACACACACACAGACACACACACAGACACACACACAGACACACACACAGACACACAGACACACACACAGCAAACACACACACAGACACACACACACAGACACAGCAAACACACACACACACAGCAAACACACGCACACACACACAGACACACACACAGCAAACACACGCACACACACACAGACACACACACAGCAAACACACACACACAGACATACGCACACAGACACACGCACGCACAGACACACACACACAGACACACACGTAGACGCACAGACACACACAGACGCACGCACACAGACGCACAGACACACACGTAGACGCACAGACACACACGTAGACGCACAGACACACACGTAGACGCACAGACACACACGTAGACGCACAGACACACACGCACACAAACGGACACGCACACAAACAGACACGCACACAAACAGACACGCACACGCACAGACACACACACGCACACACGCACAGACACACACACAGACAACAACTCACCTCCACCACCTCCCCTGGTGTAGCCTCTAACAAAGACTGCTGTGTTTAGCGAGTAGTAGACAAAGCTGCCCCAGGTAGCCTCTAGCAGGGCTGTAGGGGCAAGGGCTGTGAGTGGCGAGTAGCAGCAGCACTGCCTATGATACACACACACAGACAAAGCTGCCCCAGGTAGCCTCTAGCAGGGCTGTAGGGGCAAGTGCTGTTAGCGAGTAGCACCTATGAAGGCTACCGGCACAGTGGCACACGAGGGGGTGGGTGGCCAGCACCACGCCCGGCCGCCTTTGTCTCTCTACCCCAAGCAGCTGGCGACGTTCACCACATCACCACCGTCACCACCACCACCGCAACAGCCAACTCAAGTTTCGACCGGCCTCTATTCGTAACCGCCGATCCAACGCTACCGCCCCCCCACACACGTGTAGAGAGACACACACGCGCGCAAGTCGATAGACACACACACACGCACGCAGACAGACAGACAGACAGGCAGGACACGCGTGCAACATAACAACATACCGCTCGGGACCACTGCTGTCAGGAACTGTAATGGTGGCATTGTACTGTGGTTGGTCGGATAGGGCAGTGCCAGGCAGGGCAGGGCCGGGCCAGGCAGGGCAGGGCAGGGCCGGGCAGGGCCAGGCAATGCCGGGCGGGCGGGCAGGCAGGGCCAGGCGGGGCCAGGCGGGGCAGGCCAGGCGGGGCCAGGCGGGGCCAGGCGGGGCAGGCCAGGCGGGGCAGGCCAGGCGGGGCCAGGCGGGGCAGGCCAGGCGGGCGGGCAAGGCAAGGCCCCACCACAACAAACCCCGCCACACACACATCCCCCACGGGGATTGGTGGGTGGGTGGTTGGTGGGGAGGTTGGTTTGTTGGTGGCGGTTGTAGTTTGCAGGTTCGAGTTGTCAGGCCCAGTGGGTGGAGGTGGTGGTGGTGGTGGTGGTGGTGGGGGGGGGGGGCCCGTTGTTGGAGGCCATTGGGGGGGTGGGCGGGAGGTTTGGAGGTCACCACCCATCACAGAGTGGTGGTGGTGGTGGTGGGAGGGGGAGAAGGGGGTTGGAGAGGGGGGAGTAGTTGTTGGTTGGTGGGTGGGTTGGTGAGTAGGTGGGTGAGTGGTTGAGTGGTTGAGTGAGTGGGTGGTTGAGTGGGTGGTTGAGTGGGTGGTTGAGTGGGTGGTTGAGTGGGTGGTTGAGTGGGTGGTTGAGTGGGTGGGTGAGTGGGTGGGTGAGTGAGTGGGTGAGTGGGTGGGTGAGTGAGTGGGTGAGTGGATGGGTGAGTGAATAGGTGGGTGAGTGGGTGGGTGGGTGAGTGAGTGGGTGAATGGGTGGGTGAGTGAGTGAATAGGTGGGTGAGTGGGTGGGTGAGTGAGTGGGTGGGTGAATGGGTGGGTGAGTGAATAGGTGGTTGAGTGGGTGGGTGAGTGAGTGGGTGGGTGAGTGAGTGGGTGAGTGGGTGGGTGAGTGGGTGGGTGAGTGAGTGAATGGGTGGGTGAGTGGGTGAATAGGTGGTTGAGTGGGTGGGTGAGTGAGCGAGTGAGTGAGTGGGTGAGTGAGCGAGTGAGTGAGTGGGTGAGTGGGTGAGTGAGCGAGTGAGTGAGTGGGTGGTTGAGTGGGTGGGGATTTTTTTGTTTGCTGGGCGGGAAGGTGGGTGGGTGGGCGGGTGGGGCAGGGTGGTGGGAGTTCAGAGGAGGGGGGGGTGAGAGAGGAGGGGAGGGAGATACCACAGAACACAACACACACGCACGCACACACGCGCACACACGCACGCACACACGCGCACACACGCACACACGCACGCACACACGCGCACACTTCTTTAGACACGCGACGTTGTTTCTTCGTTAGGCCGTGAGAACACCACCGCCCCCCCCCCTACGTGGAACCTGTGCAGGAGGCCCCGGGGCGAGTGGGCAACTCTTGTCGCCGGTTTATTCGGGTGGCGAGTCAGCGCTGCTCAGTCGCGTGGGTGGTGCTGTGGGTGGCGCTGTGGGTGGTGGTGGCGCTGTGGGGGGTGGTGGTGGTGGTGCTGTGGGGGGTGGTGGTGGTGGTGCTGTGGGGGGTGCTGTGGGTGGCGCTGTGGGGGTGCTGTGGGGGGTGGTGGTGGTGGGGGGCTGAGGGGCAAGGGGTGGCGTGGGGGGAAGGGGGGGGGCTGGTGGGGAGAAGGGCATTAAGTATTCATAGAGTGGGCGGATTTTGGTGGGTGGGTGGATGAGTGGGAGGATGAGTGAGTGAGTGGGTGTGTGAGTGGGTGAGTGAGTGGGTGAGTGGGTGGGTGAGTGAGTGGGTGGGTGAGTGGGTGAGTGAGTGGGTGAGTGAGTGGGTGAGTGAGTGGGTGAGTGAGTGGGTGTGTGAGTGGGTGAGTGAGTGGGTGGGTGAGTGGGTGAGTGAGTGGGTGGGTGAGTGAGTGGGTGGGTGAGTGAGTGGGTGGGTGAGTGGGTGAGTGGGTGAGTGGGTGTGTGAGTGGGTGAGTGGGTGTGTGAGTGGGTGAGTGAGTGGGTGGGTGAGTGGGTGAGTGAGTGGGTGAGTGAGTGGATGGGTTAGGGTGAGTGGGTGAGTGAGTGGGTGGGGTGAGTGGGTGTGTGAGTGTGTGAGTGGGTGGGTGAGTGAGTGAGTGGGTGAGTGAGTGGGTGAGTGAGTGGGTGAGTGAGTGGATGGGTTAGGGTGAGTGGGTGAGTGAGTGGGTGTGTGAGTGGGTGAGTGGGTGGGTGAGTGAGTGGGTGTGTGAGTGGGTGAGTGGGTGAGTGGGTGAGTGAGTGGGCGTGTGAGTGGGTGAGTGGGTGAGTGGGTGAGTGGGTGGGTGTGTGAGTGGGTGAGTGGGCGAGTGAGTGGGTGTGTGAGTGGGTGAGTGGGTGTGTGAGTGGGTGAGTGGGTGAGTGAGTGGGTGGGTGAGTGGGTGAGTGGGTGTGTGAGTGGGTGTGTGAGTGGGTGAGTGAGTGGATGGGTTAGGGTGAGTGGGTGAGTGAGTGGGTGTGTGAGTGGGTGAGTGGGTGTGTGAGTGGGTGTGTGAGTGGGCGTGTGAGTGGGTGAGTGGGTGAGTGGGTGAGTGGGTGGGTGTGTGAGTGGGTGAGTGGGCGAGTGAGTGGGTGTGTGAGTGGGTGAGTGGGTGTGTGAGTGAGTGGGTGAGTGAGTGGGTGAGTGGGTGTGTGAGTGGGTGAGTGGGTGAGTGGGTGAGTGAGTGGGTGTGTGAGTGGGCGTGTGAGTGGGTGAGTGGGTGAGTGGGTGAGTGGGTGGGTGTGTGAGTGGGTGAGTGGGCGAGTGAGTGGGTGTGTGAGTGGGTGAGTGGGTGTGTGAGTGGGTGAGTGGGTGAGTGAGTGGGTGGGTGAGTGGGTGAGTGGGTGTGTGAGTGGGTGGGTGAGTGGGTGAGTGAGTGGATGGGTTAGGGTGAGTGGGTGAGTGAGTGGATGGGTTAGGGTGAGTGGGTGAGTGAGTGGGTGTGTGAGTGGGTGAGTGGGTGAGTGAGTGGGTGTGTGAGTGGGTGAGTGGGTGAGTGAGTGGGTGTGTGAGTGGGTGAGTGGGTGAGTGAGTGGGTGTGTGAGTGGGTGAATGGGTGAGTGGGTGGGTGTGTGAGTGGGTGTGTGAGTGGGTGAGTGGGTGTGTGAGTGGGTGAGTGAGTGAGTGGGTGAGTGGGTGGGTGAGTGGGTGGGTGGGTGAGTGGGTGAGTGGGTGTGTGAGTGGGTGGGTGAGTGGGTGAGTGAGTGGGTGAGTGAGTGAGTGAGTGGGTGAGTGAGTGGATGGGTGGGTGAGTGAGTGGGTGTGTGAGTGGGTGAGTGGGTGAGTGAGTGAGTGGATGGGTGGGTGAGTGAGTGGATGGGTGAGTGAGTGGGTGGGTGAGTGGGTGAGTGAGTTGATGGGTGAGTGAGTGGATGGGTTAGGGTGAGTGGGTGGGACAGTGGGTGGGTGAGTGGGCGAATTTTGGTGGGTGGGTGAGTGAGTGGATGGGTTAGGGCGGTCGTTTGGGTGGGCGGATAATTGAGTGGGTGAGGAAGTGAGTGAGCGTGTGGGTGTGTGAGTGAGTGGGTGGGTGAGTGGGTGAGTGAGTGGGTGAGTGGGTGAGTGAGTGGGTGGGTGAGTGGGTGAGTGAGTGGGTGAGTGGGTGAGTGGGTGAGTGAGTGGGTGAGTGGGTGAGTGAGTGGGTGGGTGAGTGGGTGTGTGAGTGAGTGGGTGGGTGAGTGGGTGAGTGAGTGGGTGAGTGGGTGAGTGAGTGGGTGGGTGAGTGGGTGAGTGAGTGGGTGGGTGAGTGGGTGTGTGAGTGAGTGGGTGGGTGAGTGGGTGAGTGAGTGGGTGAGTGGGTGAGTGAGTGGGTGGGTGAGTGGGTGTGTGAGTGAGTGGGTGGGTGAGTGGGTGAGTGAGTGGGTGAGTGGGTGAGTGAGTGGGTGGGTGAGTGGGTGAGTGAGTGGGTGAGTGAGTGGATGGGTGAGTGGGTGAGTGTGTGAGTGAGTGGGTGGGTGAGTGGGTGAGTGAGTGGGTGAGTGGGTGAGTGAGTGGATGGGTGAGTGGGTGAGTGGGTGGGTGAGTGGGTGAGTGAGTGGGTGAGTGGGTGAGTGAGTGGGTGGGTGAGTGGGTGAGTGAGTGGGTGAGTGGGTGAGTGGGTGGGTGAGTGGGTGAGTGAGTGGGTGAGTGGGTGAGTGAGTGGATGGGTGAGTGAGTGAGTGGGTGAGTGGGTGAGTGGATGGGTGGGTGAGTGAGTGGGTGGGTGAGTGGGTGAGTGAGTGGGTGTGTGAGTGAGTGGGTGGGTGAGTGGGTGAGTGAGTGGGTGAGTGGGTGAGTGAGTGGATGGGTGAGTGAGTGAGTGGATGGGTGTGTGAGTGAGTGGGTGAGTGAGTGGATGGGTGAGTGAGTGAGTGGATGGGTGTGTGAGTGAGTGGGTGAGTGAGTGGATGGGTGAGTGAGTGAGTGGATGGGTGTGTGAGTGAGTGGGTGAGTGAGCGTGTGGGTGTGTGAGTGAGTGGGTGGGTAAGTAGGTGGGCGACTGGGTGGGTGGTCGAGTGGTTTAGTGAGGAGTTTAGTGAGCGGGTGAGTGGTTAAGTGGATGAGCGAGCAGGTGAGTGAGTGGGTGAGTGAGCGGGCAAGCGGGCGAGCGAGTGAGCGGGTGACTGAGCGGGCGAGTGGGTGGGTGAGCGTGCGAGTGAGCGGGCGAGTGAGTGGTTGAGCGAGTAGTCTAGCGAGCGATCCGTAACGATCCTACTAAATCGGCAAATGCCTTCAAAGCCAATTCCCTTTGTGGCCCAGTGGTGGATGTGGTGGTGGATGTGGTGGTGGTGGATGTGGTGGTGGATGTGGTGGTGGAGGTGGTGGATGTGGTGGTGGTGGATGTGGTGGTGGTGGATGTGGTGGTGGTGGATGTGGTGGTGGTGGATGTGGTGGATGTGGTGGTGGTGGATGTAGTGGTGGATGTGGTGGATGTAGTGGTGGATGTGGTGGTGGTGGATGTGGTGGTGGATGTGGTGGGATGTGGTGGTGGTTGGGATGTGGTGGTGGTGGATGTGGTGGTGGTGGATGTGGTGGTGGTGGATGTGGTGGTGGTGGATGTGGTGGTGGTGGATGTGGTGGTGGTGGATGTAGTGGTGGATGTGGTGGTGGTGGATGTGGTGGTGGTGGATGTGGTGGTGGTGGATGTGGTGGTGGATGTAGTGGTGGATGTGGTGGTGGATGTGGTGGTGGATGTGGTGGTGGTGGATGTGGTGGTGGTGGTGGATGTGGTAGTGGTAGATGGGGCGGTGGTGGCAAAACTCGCGACACAAAATGTGGCCGACATCCTCACGCCCCTAGTGGCTGCGGGAAAGACCCGCGTGGTTTACTAGCCAGCGTGTGCTTAGCGTGTGCTTGGCGTGTGCTTAGCGTGTGTGACTTACGTCGGCACGCAGAGCCTTGATGTGTTTCCCTCCCTTACCGATCACAGCTCCGGCGTTCTGCAGCACGCACGGAGAGAGCAGAGGGGGGGAGGGGAGGGTCCGATTAAATCACTGTGGTGTGATGGATGAGGACGCTCAGATGGAGCCTCGGGCTCACTCGATGGGATTGTGTCAGGAACGAAGACGTTCGCAAGCGACTTGGTGTGGCACCCCCATTGCGGACAAGATGCTCGAGGCAAGGCTTCGGTGCTACGGCCACGTGATGCGAAGTGAAGAGTCATCGGTGGCCAAGACTGCCGTGCGTATTGAGCCAGAGGGTCGCCGTCCACGCGGACGTCCGAAGAAGCGATGGATGATTGACCGAATAAAGGAAGACGTGAAGACGGTCAACGCATCCCCTGAAGATGCCCTGGACCGAGCCAAATGGAGAAGACAATGCCGAAAAGCGGACCCTGCGCCACAGCGGGAACAACGCTAGGGAGAAGGTGTGATGGACAGTGATGGAGAGAAACTCGTTTAAATGTCTCGATTTAAAGCTTCTTTCGTGACTCCAGCAGGGATTCATCTACTTGGTTCTTTCGGTAAAGTCGTCGCGTAGAAGGGAAATAATAAAATAATAAAAAATAAAAAAATAGTTCTCGATTTAAAGCTTCTTTCGTGACTCCAGCACAGATTCATCTACTTGGTTCTTTCGGTAAAGTCGCCGCGTAGAAGGGAAATAATAAAATAATAAAACATAATTAAATAGTTCTCGATTTAAAGCTTCTTTCGTGACTCCAGCACGGATTCATCATCTTGGTTCTTTCGGTAAAGTCGTCACGTAGAAGGGAAGAAATAAAGAATAATAAGTATAACCCGTAAAAACAAAGTTTTTCACTCTAAATCCTTTATATGCGTGGCGGCTAGAGTCCTCTCGTCCTCTGGCTTGAGATGGCTGCCACCTATGGGTCAGATGATTGTCTGCCAGTATCAAGCAATTGGTAATCAAATATTTAATTTGTTTTCCCTAAACAGTGTGAAATTTTGAAAAAAATGTTCACGAACATTAATTGTCACGCACAACGAGTCTGTGTGCAAAATGTCAGCTCGATTGGATCACGGGAAGTGGGTTAAAAAACGACCGAAAGATTTGCACGGTCGCAAGCAAGCAAGTGAACTTAATATAAAGGATTAAATAAGTATAACCCATTAAAACAAAGTGTTTCACTCTAAATCCTTTATATGCGTGGTGGCTAGAGTCCTCTCGTCCTCTGGCTTGAGATGGCTGCCACCTATGGGTCAGATGATTGCATTGCACCATTAAGCAATTGGTAATTAAATATAATATTTTTGTCATAAAAAGTGTAACATTTTGGAAAAAAATGTTCACGAAAATGCATTGTCACGCACAACGAGTCTGTGTGCAAAATGTCAGCTCGATTGGATCACGGGAAGTGGGTTAAAAAACGACCGAAAGATTTGCACGGTCCTAAGCAAGCAAGCAAGCACGCAAGCACGCAAGCACGCAAGCAAGCGAGCGAACTTAATATAAAGGATTTAAAAATCAAACTTAATAAAATAGTTCTCGATTTAAAGCTTCTTTCGTGACTGCAGGGATTCATCTTCTTGGTTCTTTCGGTAAAGTCGTCACGTAGAAGGGAAATCATAAAAGTCTCCCCGACAGACCTGTTCTTCACCTGAGGACGGCTGCTTGCGTTGTGGCCGAAACGTCGTGAGAATTTTGTTATGTTTTATTTTTATTATTTTATTACTTCCCTTCTACGTGACGACTTTACCGAAAGAACCAAGAAGATATTTTAAATGTTTCACGAGGTTGTATTCTTCTCAGAGATAGAAAAATAAAAAAAAACTAATCTAGAATTGAAGCTTTTCGTGACTGCAGAGATTATACGCGTTGGTTTTTCTCGGTGAAGTCGCAGATGTAGAAATAAAATAAATAAAACTTAAATAAATCACGACGTTGCAAACGCAACACAAGCGCTCATCATGATGATGATCTCCGTGTGCGTTTCATGATGATGATTGCGTTGCGTTCGAAACGTCGTGATTTATTTGAATTTAATTTCATTACATTTTCATTTCATTTCTACACACGCGACTTCACCCAAAAAAACTATGAGAGATAAACTATTTTAATGTTTCACGAGGTTAAATAATATTTTTTTTAAAATTACATTTTATTTTTTATTCAATCACGAAAGCCTTAAGCCGAGATTTTTCACGAGGCAATTTCCCACTCAGATTCTGAGTTCTTTTGTCCAGAAGAGACTTTTGGCTGTCACAAAGCAAGTAGCTAAGGACCACCACGACCTCCTGTGTACCAGGCGAGATAGTCAACATCCCCTATCCACTGGGAATCACCGCGACCTCCTGCGTACCAGGCGAGGTAGTCAACATCTCCCCAGCGAGTGTCTCACCCTGTTCTGCATGAGCACACGACCTCCTGCGTACCAGGTGAGGTAGTCAACATCTCCCCAGCGAGTAGCTCACCCTGTTCTGCATGAGCACACGACCTCCTGCGTACCAGGCGAGGTAGTCAACATCTCCCCAGCGAGTAGCTCACCCTGTTCTGCATGAGCACACGACCTCCTGCGTACCAGGCGAGGTAGTCAACATCTCCCCAGCGAGTGTCTCACCCTGTTCTGCATGAGCACACGACCTCCTGCGTACCAGGTGAGGTAGTCAACATCTCCCCAGCGAGTAGCTCACCCTGTTCTGCATGAGCACACGACCTCCTGCGTACCAGGTGAGGTAGTCAACATCTCCCCAGCGAGTAGCTCACCCTGTTCTGCATGAGCACACGACCTCCTGCGTACCAGGCGAGGTAGTCAACATCTCCCCAGCGAACATCTCGCCCTGTTCTGCATGAGCACACGACCTCCTGCGTACCAGGCGAGGTAGTCAACATCTCCCCAGCGAGTATCTCGCCCTGTTCTGCACGAGCACACGACCTCCTGCGTACCAGGTGAGGTAGTCAACATCTCCCCAGCGAGTGTCTCACCCTGTTCTGCATGAGCACACGACCTCCTGCGTACCAGGCGAGGTAGTCAACATCTCCCCAGCGAGTGTCTCGCCCTGTTCTGCATGAGCACACGACCTCCTGCGTACCAGGCGAGGTAGTCAACATCTCCCCAGCGAGTATCTCGCCCTGTTCTGCACGAGCACACGACCTCCTGCGTACCAGGCGAGGTAGTCAACATCTCCCCAGCGAGTATCTCGCCCTGTTCTGCATGAGCACACGACTTCCTGCGTACCAGGCGAGGTAGTCAACATCTCCCCGGCGAGCATCTCACCCTGTTCTGCATGAGCACACGACCTCCTGCGTACCAGGCGAGGTAGTCAACATCTCCCGGGCGAGTATCTCACCCTGTTCTGCATGAGCACACGACCTCCTGCGTACCAGGCGAGGTAGTCAACATCTCCCCAGCGAGTATCTCGCCCTGTTCTGCATGAGCACACGACCTCCTGCGTACCAGGCGAGGTAGTCAACATCTCCCCAGCGAGTGTCTCGCCCTGTTCTGCATGAGCACACGACCTCCTGCGTACCAGGCGAGGTAGTCAACATCTCCCCAGCGAGTATCTCGCCCTGTTCTGCACGAGCACACGACCTCCTGCGTACCAGGCGAGGTAGTCAACATCTCCCCAGCGAGTATCTCGCCCTGTTCTGCATGAGCACACGACTTCCTGCGTACCAGGCGAGGTAGTCAACATCTCCCCGGCGAGCATCTCGCCCTGTTCTGCATGAGCACACGACCTCCTGCGTACCAGGCGAGGTAGTCAACATCTCCCCAGCGAGCATCTCGCCCTGTTCTGCATGAGCACACGACCTCCTGCGTACCAGGCGAGGTAGTCAACATCTCCCCAGCGAGTATCTCGTCCTGTTCTGCACGAGCACACGACCTCCTGCGTACCAGGCGAGGTAGTCAACATCTCCCCAGCGAACGTCTTACCCTGCTCTGCATGAGCACACGCAGTTCGACGCGGGAGTCGTCGTTGTTGCGCGACCGCTTGGTCGACTGTTCCTCTCCGGAGTCCTCCGCAGGGCGTTTGCCTTCGTGCACGCGCGCGGAGACACGCACAACAGAGACACACGCGGAGATATAGAGACACACGCAGGTGACACGCACAGAGACACGCACAGAGACACGCACAGAGACACACGCGGAGATATAGAGACACGCAGAGACACGCACAGACACACACGGAGATAGAGAGACACGCACAACAGAGACACACACCGAGATATAGAGACACACGCAGGTGACACGCACAGAGACACGCACAGAGACACGCACAGAGACACACGCGGAGATATAGAGACACGCAGAGACACGCACAGACACACACGGAGATAGAGACACACACAGAGACACACACAGACACACACGGAGATATAGAGACACACGCAGAGACACGCACAGACACACACGGAGATAGAGACACACGCAGAGACACGCACAGACACACACGGAGATAGAGAGACACGCACAGAGACACACACGGAGATATAGAGACACACGCAGAGACACGCACAGACACGCACGGAGATAGAGAGACACGCACAGAGACACACACGGAGATATAGAGACACACGCAGAGACACGCACAGACACGCACGGAGATAGAGAGACACGCACAGAGACACACACGGAGATATAGAAACACACGCAGAGACACGCACAGACACGCACGGAGATAGAGAGACACGCACAACAGAGACACACGCGGAGATATAGAGACACACGCAGAGACACGCACAGACACACACGGAGATAGAGAGACACGCACAGAGACACACACGGAGATATAGAGACACACGCAGAGACACGCACAGACACACACGGAGATAGAGAGACACGCACAGAGACACACACGGAGATATAGAGACACACGCAGAGACACGCACAGACACACACGGAGATAGAGAGACACGCACAGAGACACACACGGAGATATAGAGACACACGCAGAGACACGCACAGACACACACGGAGATAGAGAGACACGCACAGAGACACACACGGAGATATAGAGACACACGCAGAGACACGCACAGACACACACGGAGATAGAGAGACACGCACAGAGACACACACGGAGATAGAGACACACGCAGAGACACGCACAGACACACACGGAGATAGAGAGACACGCACAACAGAGACACACACCGAGATATAGAGACACACGCAGGTGACACGCACAGAGACACGCACAGAGACACGCACAGAGACACACGCGGAGATATAGAGACACGCAGAGACACGCACAGACACACACGGAGATAGAGAGACACGCACAGAGACACACACGGAGATATAGAGACACGCACAGGTGACACGCACAGAGACACACACAGAGACACGCACAGAGACACACGCGGAGATATAGAGACACGCAGAGACACGCACAGACACACACGGAGATAGAGAGACACGCACAGAGACACACACGGAGATATAGAGACACGCACAGGTGACACGCACAGAGACACACACAGAGACACGCACAGAGACACACGCGGAGATATAGAGACACGCAGAGACACGCACAGACACACACGGAGATAGAGAGACACGCACAGAGACACACACGGAGATATAGAGACACACGCAGAGACACGCACAGACACACACGGAGATAGAGAGACACGCACAGAGACACACACGGAGATATAGAGACACACGCAGAGACACGCACAGACACACACGGAGATAGAGAGACACGCACAGAGACACACGCGGAGATATAGAGACACACACAGAGACACGCACAGACACACACGGAGATAGAGAGACACGCACAGAGACACACGCGGAGATATAGAGACACGCACAGGTGACACGCACAGAGACACACACAGAGACACGCACAGAGACACACACAACAGAGACACACACGGAGATATAGAGACACACACAGAGACACGCACAGACACACACGGAGATAGAGAGACACGCACAGAGACACACACGGAGATATAGAGACACACGCAGAGACACGCACAGACACACACGGAGATAGAGAGACACACAGAGACACGCACAGACACACACGGAGATAGAGACACGCACAACAGAGACACACGCGGAGATATAGAGACACACGCAGAGACACGCACAGACACGCACGGAGATAGAGAGACACGCACAGAGACACACACGGATATAGAGAGACACGCACAGGTGACACGCACAGAGACACACACAGAGACACGCACAGAGACACACACAACAGAGACACACACGGAGATATAGAGACACACGCAGAGACACGCACAGACACGCACGGAGATAGAGACACACACAGAGACACACAGAGACACACACAGAGACACACACAGAGACACGCACAGACACACACGGAGATAGAGACACACACAGAGACGCACGCAGAGACACGCGCAGAGACACGCACAGAGACACGCACAGAGACACGCACAGAGACACGCACAGAGACACGCACAGAGACACGCACAGAGACACACACAGAGACACACACAGAGACACACACAGAGACACACAGAGACACACACGGAGATAGAGACACACACAGAGACACACACAGAGACACGCACAGAGACACACAGAGAGACACGCAGAGACACACAGAGAGACACGCAGAGACACACACAGAGACACACACAGAGACACACACAGAGACACGCACAGAGACACGCACAGAGACACACACAGAGACACGCACAGAGACACGCACAGAGACACGCACAGAGACACGCAGAGACACACACAGAGACACACACAGAGACACACACAGAGACACACAGAGAGAGACACACAGAGACACACACAGAGACACGCACAGAGACACACACGGAGATAGACACGCAGGAGGTCGCGTGCTCATGAAAAGCAGGGTGAGCGTGCGTGCGTGCGTCTGTGTGTGCGTGTCTGTGCGTGTGTGCATCTGGTTGCGTGTGTCTGTGTGCATCTACGTGCGTGTGCGTCTGTGTGTATTTCTGCGTGTGTGTCTGTGTGTGTGCGTGTGTCTGTGCGTGTCTGTGTGTGCGTGTGAATCTGTGTGCGTGTTTGTGTATCTGTGTGTGCGCGTGTGTGTGCGTGTGTGTCTGTGTGCGTGTTTGTGTGTGTCTGTGCGTGTGTGCGTGTATCTGTGTGCGTGTGTATCTGTGTGTGTCTGTGTGTGTGCGCGCGTGTGCCTGTGTGCCTGTCTGTGTGCGCGTGTGTGCGTGTGTGTGCCTGTGTGTGTGCCTGTGTGTGTGCGTGTGTGTGTGCGTGTGTGTGTGCGTGTGTGTGCCTGTGTGTGTGCCTGTGTGTGTGCGCGTGTGTGCGTGTATGTCTATCTTTTACCACTGTCGTCGATATCCTGTGATGCATCCATCGCCCCTGCGAGACGGAAAAACCCGCACACAACAACAACAACAACCATCACCCTCACGACAACATCACACACACAACAACAACCACAACCGCCACCATTCTCCAGCGAGTGGCCGGCAACGTCACCGCGCCAGGCTAGGTGCACCACGAGGCCGACCGAGATGACCGGTAGATGTGACAACCTGTGGCACCCGCCGTGCAAACTCGCTGCTGCGTTTCAGCCGCCCGGCTCGTAGTTGTGAGCGTCGCCACACTGCCTCTCCGCTGTGCGTGGAGTTGCGTGGAGTTGCGTGGAGTTGCGTGGAGTTGCGTGGAGTTGCGTGGAGTTGCGTGGAGTTGCGTGGAGTTGCGTGCGGGTTGCGTGATGTTATGTGGAATTGTGTGCGGGTTGAGTGGTGTTGCGTGGGGATGCGTGGGGATGCGTGGAGTTGCGTGGAGTTGCGTGGAGTTGCGTGGAGTTGCGTGGAGTTGCGTGGAGTTGCGTGGAGTTGCGTGGAGTTGCGTGGAGTTTGCGTGGAGTTGCGTGGAGTTGCGTGCGGGTTGCGTGATGTTATGTGGAATTGTGTGCGGGTTGAGTGGTGTTGAGTGGGTGTTGCGTGGGATGCGTGGAGTTGCGTGGAGTTGCGTGGAGTTGCGTGGAGTTGCGTGGAGTTGCGTGGAGTTGCGTGATGTTATGTGGAATTGTGTGCGGGTTGAGTGGTGTTTGCGTGGGGATGCGTGGGGATGCGTGGGGATGCGTGGGGATGCGTGGGGATGCGTGGGGATGCGTGGAGTTGCGTGGAGTTTGCGGTGGAGTTGCGTGGAGTTGCGTGGAGTTGCGTGGAGTTGCGTGGAGGTTGCGTGGAGTTGCGTGGAGTTGCGTGGAGTTGCGTGGAGTTGCGTGGAGTTGCGTGGAGTTGCGTGGAGTTGCGTGGAGTTGCGTGGAGTTGCGTGGAGTTGCGTGGAGTTGCGTGGAGTTGCGTGGAGTTGCGTGGAGTTGCGTGGAGTTGCGTGGAGTTGCGTGGAGTTGCGTGGAGTTGCGTGGAGTTGCGTGGAGTTGCGTGGAGTTGCGTGGAGTTGCGTGGAGTTGCGTGGAGTTGCGTGGAGTTGCGTGGAGTTGCGTGGAGTTGCGTGGAGTTGCGTGGAGTTGCGTGGAGTTGCGTGGAGTTGCGTGGAGTTGCGTGGAGTTGCGTGGAGTTGCGTGGAGTTGCGTGGAGTTGCGTGGAGTTGCGTGGAGTTGCGTGGAGTTGCGTGGAGTTGCGTGGAGTTGCGTGGAGTTGCGTGGGGATGCGTGGAGTTGCGTGGGAGTGCGTGGAGTTGCGTGGAGTTGCGTGGAGTTGCGTGGAGTTGCGTGGAGTTGCGTGGAGTTGCGTGGAGTTGCGTGGAGTTGCGTGCGGGTTGCGTGATGTTATGTGGAATTGTGTGCGGGTTGAGTGGTGTTGAGTGGTGTTGCATGGTGTTGCGTGGAGTTGCGTGCGGGTTGCGTGGAGTTGCGTGGAGTTGCGTGGGTTTGCGTGGGGTTGCGTGGAGTTGCGTGGCACCGTTGGAGTCTCCGCTGTCAAGTTGGTTGTCTTCCTCCATCTCCATGGCTCAACGGAATCCTCGGTGAGACCGGGGCGGGCTGAGCACTCGAACAGACGAGAGGCGCTGACTGATCTGTGTGGGGGTGGGACACGGGGAGAGAGGGGGGGGTGGGTGGGTGAGTGGGTGGGTGAGTGGGTGGGTGAGTGGGTGGGTGGGTGAGTGAGTGAGTGAGTGGGTGAGTGGGTGGGTGAGTGAGTGAGTGAGTGGGTGGGTGGGTGGGTGGGTGGGTGGGTGGGTGGGTGAGTGAGTGGGTGGGTGGGTGAGTGAGTGAGTGAGTGGGTGAGTGGGTGAGTGGGTGGGTGGGTGGGTGGGTGAGTGAGTGGGTGGGTGAGTGAGTGGGTGGGTGAGTGAGTGGGTGAGTGGGTGGGTGGGTGAGTGAGTGAGTGAGTGGGTGGGTGAGTGAGTGGGTGGGTGGGTGAGTGGGTGGCGGTTACGACGAGGCAAAGAGCAAAAGTCACGGTCGCTCCGATGGCGACAAGAATTCCATCTGTGACAGAGAGAGAGATTCACTGAGACTCCCACAGGGTTCAGTGTTAATCACTGAGACTCCCACAGGGTTCAGTGTTAATCACTGAGACTCCCACAGGGTTCAGTGTTAATCACTGAGACTCCCACAGGGTTCAGTGTTAATCACTGAGACTCCCACAGGGTTCAGTGTTAATCACTGAGACTCCCACAGGGTTCAGTGTTAATCACTGAGACTCCCACAGGGTTCAGTGTTAATCAGTGAGACTCCCACAGGGTTCAGTGTTAATCAGTGAGGCTCCCACAGGGTTCAGTGTTAATCACTGAGACTCCCACAGGGTTCAGTGTTAATCACTGAGACTCCCACAGGGTTCAGTGTTAATCAGTGAGGCTCCCACAGGGTTCAGTGTTAATCACTGAGACTCCCACAGGGTTCAGTGTTAATCACTGAGACTCCCACAGGGTTCAGTGTTAATCACTGAGACTCCCACAGGGTTCAGTGTTAATCACTGAGACTCCCACAGGGTTCAGTGTCAATCACTGAGACTCCCACAGGGTTCAGTGTTAATCAGTGAGACTCCCACAGGGTTCAATGTTAATCACTGAGACTCCCACAGGGTTCAATGTTAATCACTGAGACTCCCACAGGGTTCAGTGTTATTCACTGAGACTCCCACAGGGTCCAGTGTTAATCAGTGAGACTCCCACAGGGTTCAATGTTAATCACTGAGACTCCCACAGGGTTCAGTGTTAATCAGTGAGACCGCCATAGGGTTCAGTGTTAATCAGTGAGACCGCCATAGGGTTCAGTGTTAATCAGTGAGACCGCCATAGGGTTCAATGTTAATCAGTGAGACCGCCATAGGGTTCAATGTTAATCAGTGAGACCCCCACAGGGTTCAGTGTTAATCACTGAGACTCCCACAAGGTTCAATGTTAATCACTGAGACTCCCACAGGGTTCAATGTTAATCAGAGGACCTCACTCCCATAGGGTTCAATGTTAATCAGTGAGACCGCCATAGGGTTCAGTGTTAATCAGTGAGACCGCCATAGGGTTCAGTGTTAATCAGTGAGACCGCCATAGGGTTCAGTGTTAATCAGTGAGACTCCCACAGGGTTCAGTGTTAATCACTGAGACTCCCACAGGGTTCAATGTTAATCAGAGACTCACTCCCATAGGGTGCAATGTTAATCACAGAGACCGCCATAGGGTTCAATGTTAATCAGTGAGACCCCCATAGGGTTCAGTGTTAATCACTGAAACCGCCATAAGGTTCAGTGTTAATCACTGAGACTCCCACAGGGTTCAGTGTTAATCTCTGAGACTCCCACAGGGTTCAGTGTTAATCACTGAGACTCCCACAGGGTTCAGTGTTAACTCTCTGAGACTCCCACAGGGTTCAGGTGTTATCACTGAGACTCCCACAGGGTTCAGTGTTAATCCCTGAGACTCCCACCGGGTTCAGTGTTAAGCACTGAGACTCCCACAGGGTTCAGTGTTAATCACTGAGACTCCACATGGTTCAGTGTTAAT